CATTGACACTTTCATTTTAATTATCAGAAGTCACAACAGGGGCATCAATCTGGGAAGAGTGGTCCGAAATTATGGAGCAGCGTTGCGGGGCATGCGGAAGGGGAGCAGGGACCGGGTAAGTTGCGTTCTGGGTTTGGGAAAAATAATTACACCATTTGTGCACTATTGCAGCTTTGTATAGTGATTTTTTGAAATATCAGTTGTCTTTTGAAAAATGTGTAGGAAACACACAAGACTTCGGGTTGAGTGAAAATCAGTGTTCAATGTTTTCTTTTCTTTAGCGGATTTTTTGAGTCCGGAGTCGACCAAATTTCAGCAAGAGTTTCTTACACTAGCGACAGGAGGGGAAGAACAACAACAGCAGCAGCAAGTACAGCAGCACAGTCAGAAGCCAAGCACAGATTCTCAATATGGGCCAGGCCCGAGCTTGAGGCCGCAGAGTAAATTTCAGTGACAAGCTCTGCATCCAGGGTATTAGCCAGGAATATGAGTATTGGGGGTGTGCAGAAAAAATATATCGGAGTGCATTTTTTTTGTATGTGTGTCTCAGCTAAGACCGTCATTGGGGGTGTACGGGGGCCTCCCCCGGAAAATGTTGTAACGTTTTAAATTTTTTTGGCCGTGCAATTCATGGCTGCACGGCTCGCTGGTTAATACGTTGTCTGCATCACACTCAGAAATACTACATAGTTTTTGAAGTATTAAAAAATCCACAAGTATTTTAAGTGTGTTTTGATGCGTAGAATGCGTTGCTGAATGCAAAGACACATCAGAGTGAAGGTATGGCGGTGTCATGTTTAGCAAGCTTCACATTAGTAGCATGTCTGTTGTTAAGGCAAGGTGGCAAGTGTTGCATATTCCTCGCGGAGGTCATTAACCCAGACAAAGAAACATGGTTGCCATACTCAACAATATATTTCCACTGCGCATGCGCGCATAACAAATAAGGTTACATTACAGGCTGTTACATAATAATGCGGATACATCACAGTCCCCCACACTAAATAGTTAGTTCTCCTAACCCATCAACCAAATAATATCCCAAATGGCAATTTTGTGTTTTCTCTAGTTTCAACAACTGAACTCAATCTCAAGTAAAACACAACTTCGAAATACAGTAGAAGTCATTCAACCAATTGTTACTTCAACTTTAACCAAGCTACTAACCAGCATGGAATATATAATCTCTCAACCAGAAATTGTAACTTAGTGTATACTAGGAATATTCAAAGATAATTGACTCAGAAACAAGAAACACATGTACACACTTATTCCAACATGTTGCGAAATGGACTGTAACGAAATTAGATTTTAACAGGTTTACTTGTACCAGTTAGTATGCATAAACAAAGTGCACACATAGAATGATTGAATTGACAGAACAGAATATTGACCCTGATTGATGTCAATTCCACATCAGTTTTACCACATTTCCGCACATGTCAACAGTGCATCCGAGCACTATAGTCTATTTCAAAAACAGGCTCAATCTTAGACAGATTACACAGTAACATAGTCCTTGAGTTTCACAGAGGGCTTTCTGTCCCTCACAGGATAGCGTCTAACAGGTGTGTTAGTTGCATCGGGATGCGAGTCTCTCATAATCCCAATGTCTCTGTTCTCGACAGGCTTAGCGGTGACAGCCTTAGGTTTGGGAGTCTGCAGTTCTGGCGGTGGAACCACAGCAGCAGAATTGAATGTCTCTACAGTCTCTTGAGAACTGGAATCATTCAGTCCCTCAGAAGTAGCTAAGTCAGACAAGACTTGATAGCGATCATAACCATGAAAGTTCGGCACTTGACGAGAGTCACTACTCTCCCCCTCACTAGTCTTACGCATATGGTCTGCATGAACAAATCTGGCGTTACCAGCAACATCAACCAAATAGCGCAGCGGACCCAGCCGTCTGAGAATTGTCCCCAGAACAAACTTCACCTCCTTATTGTCTCTGGAATTTTTCACTCTGACAATCTCATTCTTCTCAAAGTCACGAAAGTGAACTCGAACATCATGATGTTCCTTCTGTTTCTGTTGTTTCTTCTCAACTGATTTACGCATATCGGGTCTCAGAAGATCCCAACGTGTACGAAGTTTGCGTTTGTTCAAGAGTTCAGCGGGTGTGACACCAGTGACAGAATGCGGCGTGCATCTGTAAGTGAGCAGGAAGTTAGCTAACTTATGACTATCAGACAATCCACTCCGTTCATCGTCCAGAAAATGCTTCTTCAGCGCATTTTTCACAGTTTTCACAGCGTTCTCCGCTTGCCCATTCGTAGCGGGGTGGTATGGTGGAGACAGAATGTGCTCGATGCCATTGCTAGCACAGAATCTCTCGAATTCCTCAGATGTATAGGGCGGACCATTGTCCGTAACGAGCTTCTCAGGTATTCCTTGAATGCAGAATATGCTCCGGAATGCCTCTATAGTCTTTTCTGCGGTAGTGGTGTTCATCTTCACCACTTCTGGCCACTTCGAGTAACTATCCACTACAACTAGATAGTGTTTCTGACGGTACTCTCCAAAGTCAGCATGTAATCTGGACCATGGTTTGTCAGTGTATCGCCATGGATACAGAGGAGACAGAAGCAGATCTGCCTTCAGCGTCTGACAAACACTACAGCTCTTCACCATGTCCTCGATTTTCTCATCAAGCTTAGGAAACCAAAAGTAACTCCTAGCGAGGGCCTTGGTTCTGACAATGCCAAGATGCTCATGATGCAGTTCTCGAACCAATGTTACACGGAATTTCGGTGGGATTATAACTCTCATACCCCACAATAAACAACCTTGGTCACAGGAAATCTCATTCCGAATTCTGAAGTATGGTTTGAACTCATCCTCCGACTTCTCAGATGGTACGTCAGGCCAGCCATTCTGCGCAAACATATAGATCTTCGAAAGAACAGGATCCTTCTTAGTCTCCTGAGCAATGTCCTCTGCAGTGACAGGAAGATCATTCACATATGAGTGAAGTAGTTCACTTGTTGCTCTGCACCAAGGGCAGTGTCCTTAGTACTAGTACTCGGCATCCTTGAACAGAAATCAGCGTTTCCATGATCTGAGGTGCGACGGTACACGATGTCATAGTCATACGCCATGAGAATCAAACTCCACCGTTGAAGTCTGAGTGGCCTCAGTTTGGAGACGTATACATCATGTTGTGAAACCAGCATGACTGTTGGGATTGCCAAAGGTAAACAAAGCTGGAAGTTGGGGGCATGGTGATTAGCTGGTGGGAGCACGTTGGACGACTTATGGGGTGTTG